GTTTGCTATATAGCTCATTGGCTGATCATACAAGAGAAATGATTCTTTTTCATTGACAAGTTTTCATTCAAATGTCAATATTAAATGTTACAAAACATTACGTATGTTTTTTGTTTTTAACAAAAAAAAAAACATTTTTTTATTCCAGTAATTGCCTTATATAACTGTTACAAACTGACTCAACATGGGGTAATTTGTAACAGCTAATTTTTTATTAAATGAAAACGCCTTTTGTGTGAAAACGCGGAATTTTTTAATTTCTACTTTAATGTAATTATTATTGCAGAAATGATTGATTTATCGATAATAACAATTATGATTATATAAAAGACTTGATAAATTTTATAATTTACACAATATTATAAAAATTTGTTACAACCAATCACAAGCTCTCTTATACTTAATTTATGAATAATAATTAATTAATTTTTTAATATAATTGCAAATTATCATTTTACGCGTCAAATGAAATGAAATGAAACGGATTGTAATAGACACTCAATAAATTGAGAAAACCAAATACGAAACAATTTTCATGAAATCTATATGGATGCGCGTCCGGCATTTAATAATATTGAAGCTGCTGGTGTATAGGTTTCCTATTGATCGCCTCATTCGAAAAGTAGATGTGACGAACAAGCAGACTGACTCTAATATATGGAAATCTTATAAATCCCATGCCAGGACACATAGTTGTTATAATTTCAACTATAGATATAGGTATAGATATATAGTAGATGTAATGGTATACAATATATATATATATATTGAAGACAAATATTCGAACAAGTCAACAACCTTTTTTAAGAGACAAAATATTTTTTCTTTTTATGAATTATGCATTTGAAATTATATTTTCTCAATATAGTCTTATAAATATATGTTTTTGTTTAAACCCCTCTTCGATTAATCTTATTCAAAATTTTTGCAAAGCGTATAAAATTTTTTTTTAAATTCCTATTTAAAAATAATTTTTATTTTTATTATTACTGAAGGGAGAGGGGGTTTAGAGGTCGCTGATTACGAATATGACAATTTAATAATTTTTAAAACATTCTTCCTTCATTCTTAAGTATGCTAAATAAATGAATTTAGAAAAACAGGTGATTTTAGCGTCACGGTTTTATGAAGTAAGAAAAAAAAATATAAGAAATAATTTAGATTCCTCATTATAAAATTATTTGGACTAAACTGAAATGCATTTATTGAATTGGAATTTGATTAATAATCATAAAATTCACATTAATAAATATGTGAAAGTATAAATGAAAGTTGTTTTTTAAACAAATTTTGGTTGAAGTAAAATTGTGCGGCACCTTGGAAGCTTATCTATATATAGAGCGAATTTTATTTTTTTTCTCACCCCCAACTCTATAGAGTACACTCTCTATTGACAAGGGAAGCTTTCAACGAAACCTGGCCTTTAAATAAAACGAGTTAGGAAGTGCATTGTCATAGCGTGTGAGAGAACAATTCTCTGTGTATTGGTTTATATTCTTGTAGAGAGAGAAAGCTTGCTTTTATGTATATATGAATATTTTGTTCATTCGTGTTTGCGTGAAAGCGCAAAGGGTGCCTTGGATATCGCAGCTTTTTTATATATATATATATATTCGCTTATATGTTCAAAGTTAAGTTCCCTGAAGCTATAATTGCATTATTCTTTGTTTTAAGGATCATATCATTTCTCTGTACTATATGTTCACTAATTAATTTTTTCATTTTCTATAACACTTATACGCTCCACGAGAAAAGGGACCTTATGGTAAAATAATTTTAAGTTATGTTTGTGATTTTTGAAGTGAATTTAAAAAAAGAATCAACTATGTTAATACAAAAACATTTATGTTAATGTCTTCATTACATTCGAAAAATTTAATAAAAATTATTTTTGATTTTATTACATTAATTAGAAACTTTTTATCAAGGTAAAATTATCATTAAACATAACCTAAAATTTCTTTACCATAAGGTCCCTTTTTTCATGGAGCAAAATATGATATCTTCAGTAAAACGTAAGAGTAAAAAGGTTTATTAAAATTATTTTATTATATATTTATTTTGTGTGAGTCTCTATAATTTTAAATTTTATGATTTTTAAATAACACGGAAAAAAATTTTATATCAGGTAATATTTTTATGATAGAAGCTTTTTAAAGTGAGAACACAGGAAGCGAGTTATTTTTTCCTCGAAAGAACATAAAAGTAAAGCTTAAAAGTTGACTGTATGTATGTAAAAGCGTGTCAGTTTGTTTGAGATATTCGCACTTATAAAGGTGAATATTTCTCTATCTTTCACAGTAAACTTGGTTGTATCTTTTTCTATTGCAACGTATTGATGCACATAAGTTATATAAAAAAGAGATCGTTTTGTGTATAATTTTTAGAAATGATACACGAAACGGTCTCATTTTTTGATGCAAAAAATTTAATCAATTTATATCAATCATGGCCGAATTGAATCGACTCAAAATTAAACGAATTTTTTTCAGATATTTTGGTAATAGTACAATTGCGGAGACCATTTCACTATTTAATTTAAAAATGAAAATAACAGAAAATCAAAGACAATGTGCAATTCGATAATTGAAAAGTGACAGCTTATAAACATAACCTAAAATGCATGAGAAAAAATTTGTCGATAAAATCTATATAGCCGAGCTTTTTAGAAGGTAGATGCGGCAGTTTTGCTTTTTATAAAAACGATTCAGAAAAAATTTAAAGAAAGAAAATAGATAAGTGCTGCCATCTACCTTCTAAAAAGCTCGGCAATATTGATTTTATCGACAAATGTTTTTTCATGCATTTTAGGTTATGTTTATAAGCTGTCACTTTTTAATTATCGAATTGCACATTGTCTTTGATTTTCTGTTATTTTCATTTTCAAATTAAATAGTGAAATGGTCTCCGCAATTGTACTATTACCAAAATATCTGAAAAAAATTCGTTTAATTTTGAGTCGATTCAATTCGGCCATGATTGATATAAATTGATTAAATTTTTTGCATCAAAAAATGAGACCGTTTCGTGTATCATTTCTAAAAATGATACACAAAACGATCTCTTTTTGATATAACTTACGTGCATCAAAACGTTGCAAAGATTTGATGCAATTTTTGGTCTCAATTTGATACTTTTAGGAAAACTGTGATTAGAATATATTTAACATAAATGATGATCAAATGAGATATGATGAAAAAAATTTTATTTTCCAAACAACCGCATTTAGTTGCCCTATCCTATCCCTAAAATTATTATTTTTTTATTATAAATAAATTATCAATTATTTAAATAATTGATTAATAATTATTTAATTTCTAAACTAAAATTTATTAGTGTGAATAGTAACAAAAACTAATTATTATTAATGAATATTTACAATTTTCAACCTTCATTGAAGAGACAAATAACGTTAATGTATTATTTGTTTGAGAAACAAATCACCGAAGTAACCCAGTTCAATTATCGGTAAAGTCTTGAGCAAATATTTAGTCTACAATAAATTATTCACCCTCACTTGAAGATAGGAATTAAAACAAGAATATCTTGTATCTCGCGCATCTTATTTCTTATTATATCAAGTGAAGAAATAAACAAACAATTTTTAATTTTTTAAATTGATTATACTCTTTTATTACCGCATTAGAGATAAAAAGCTGAATCATCTTTTTTGTTTCTAAATCATTTAAATTTTAGTTTTCTTAGTTAAAATTTTTTATAAATGTAATAAAATTTCTATACATATGTTAATATAATTTTTCTATAAATTATTACTTTATTTTTTTTTTTTAATTTAAATTTAGTGCCATTATGTTTAGTTTTGTGTTACATAGTTGGTATTTGTATTATTTGTCAATTCACACTAACCTAAAAATTCTGCTTTTTATACTTCTGAAACATAATGTATAAGTTACATTTTATTGAAGATATTAAAATCTGAGATGTAAATGAATAAATAGATAACATAAAGTACCATTCAATATTGTATACCCTTCTCATTTCATCAATAACGTTTTAAGATAAAAGATTACAAGATTCTTTAAGATCACTGATAAAAAAAAGAGGGTGTGTTCCTATATGTCTACTGTCAATGATTTATGATTTCATACGAGCGTGTAAAACATAAATCTTATCCAAAATAAACAAATTTATATTTGTACAAAATATTTGTCATATACTATACTTACTACTTTTTGGAACAATAGCATCAATTTTACTTGAAACTGGATAATATTTTCTGGAAAAAAAATAACTTAATTCAGTTTATGATTGTTTTCTTTTAGTCGCAGAATTTGAATCTGTAGTTATAAATTAAAAAAAAAATTCAAAATAAAGACCAAAAAAATTAAAAGTTAACTAATCTGTTTCTAATAAGAGAAAATTTTTATTTGAACAAAAAGTATAACGTATAGAGCTAAATAATTATTTGTTTCAAGTAAAAAATTTTTTTTTTCTTTATATAAATACTTATTTGACGCAATTAAATATTTATTTAAAGTAACTAAATATTAATTTAAATCAAATAAATATTTATTTATAGCTTTGAGATAAATAAAAAATTTTCTTTGTGAAAATACTGTATTTGAGAATAATAAAAAATTCGAAAAGTTATCCAACTAAAAATAAAACAATAGGATCTAATTTCAAAAAAAAAATTGAATATATATTTAGTTTTTTAATTGCTGACAGTTTTTACAATTTTTCATTTGATAAAAAATTTACAGTTTTCACTATAAATAAAATTCTAAAAATATATATTCAATTTGTCGGTGTATCAAATTTACTTTGCAACTGTATACTTTTTCAGTTAATTTTAAAACAATTTTGTTTTTTTATTACTTCCAAAAATAGTGTAGTTTACAAAATTGAAATAAAAAAATTATTTTTATTTCAAATTTTTTTCGTTTATTTAATTTTTTTTTAATAATTTGAAAAATTATTATTTTTTTTTTAAATATCAATATACCTAAAATTTTTGTTTTTTTTTTGTTTTGTTACAGATAGAAAATGTGGAGCTCGGTTACAGCGGCCGGTGTGGAAAATGGACCTGCACCACCGTCCCGAAGTAAACATAGTGCAACCCTCCTTGGGGGTCACGTTTATCTTCTAGGAGGTCGAAATGGTAATCTTCCACTTAAAGATCTCTGGCGTTACAGTCTTGGTAAGTTTATTTTTTTCCATCAGATTTCTTCCAATCGATTTTCAATATTTTATATATGTATGTACATAAATTCAAAAGTCAACACTACCCTTCAAACTTCAAATGCAAACAGATGCAAAATTAAATCTCAAGGGTTCCTTTATAAATATAACGAACTTGGTCGCGTTAAATTTATTCAAAAATATTCACGGAAACAATTTTCTTAAAACTTTTTTTTTTTTTTTTATACAAGTCTATTTATTTGTAAAATTAATTTGATTTTATAATTTTATTCATTACATTTTTCAATGTAAATTAAGTAAAAAAAAAAAAAGAATTTAACTTGATGCGAGCTCATTTATTGAAGAAATTGTAATATGTTTATTACATTAGAATTAATATAATAATTAGAGAACAATGCACAATTAATTTTAATTAAATATAATGGAGACAGTTTATATTATAATTTAAAATAAATAATCAACGACATTTTTTTGATCTTTTTGATCTCTTTGACTTTGATTTGCATGATTGACGTTTCATTGTTTTTCTTCTTGATCCTTTACACATTTTACGCTTATTTTTTCTACCACACATTCCACTTTTTTCTTTTTTGTCGCAATATCCACAATTTCCAACGCAATCTTTGCAATCACAACAGGCAGGTTTATCGATTACTGCTGTTTTATGTCCAAATGTCCGTTTTAAAATGCCAAATTCTTTACATCGTTTTAGTATTGAACCCAACTATATATAGAAAAAAAAAAATTTATATAATTCTTTCATTGTTCTAACAATATATTAAATTAAAATTTCTCCTATTTTAATTTTTTATAATTAATTTTGTCAATTTTTTTTTTAATTTCGTTTTTATATTTACGAGAAATAATGTTTTTAAAAAAAATTAATCAAACAATTGAAATTTCTTGGATTATAGAAACTAGGTTCCATTTTTGAAGATTTTTAAATATTTTAATATACAAGAAAAAGAATTACGATTTTCTAATTTAAATTTTATAAATTCTTTAATGTATTTCCCCATTGAATTATTAGCTTTTTTTTAAAAAAAATGCAATCAAATTTTTTTATTGTGAAAAAAAAATTTTGTTTGCATAGCGAAAATATTTATTTAGCTCTGAGACAAATACTTTTTTTTTTTATCTCGGTGTGGATTGACTCCTGTTTTAAAATTTAGATTTATTTTATATTTTCAGAGAATGATTTCAAATAAAAATGTTAATAAAAAATTATTTTTTATGTCAAATATTACAAAAAATTAAATGTTATTCTGTAAATTGAAAAAAAAACATTTGTTTGATTCAAATAATAATCTGTTAATTGATTATATAATCAAAAGAAAAATATTTCTGTATTTGAAATAAATATTGCATTTAATTTGATTAAAATAATAATTATTTAATAAATAATTTAATAATAGTCAATTAATCAATTATTTAATTATTTAAATTAAATAATATTTTTTTATAAAGAATATTCTTAAAATACATCCCTCAATTAAAATAAATGATTGCCTTTCCATTAATTTAATTTATAAATAAAATAAGTAAAATAAATAAATATGTTCATATAATTTAAAAAAAAAAATATTTATAATAAAATAAAAATAATAATATTTATAAAATAAATATAAAATAAAATATATAAAAAATATAAAATTTGTTAATAATACAGAATTAACAAGTTCATTACCCGTCGTTTAATTTTTTCTTTCGGTATATTATAATTCGTAACCATGTAATTTAAAATTTGCTCTGGAGATGGTCGATGATTTTCAGCAAGTTTTCGAAGAGCACGAACGACCACTCCCAATGAATGTATTTTGTCGTCAGCCATGATGATGGTTATCCTTAATTCTATACTAATGACAGAGTTAAACGAAAATATCAAAAAAACAAATATATTTAAAAAGTCGCAATAACAAAAAAATTATAATCATATATCAATTATGAAACAGTAATTAATATTTACAAAACATCTAAGTTAATAATTCATATTTTTCGAAATATTTTATTATTAAATTTTATTTAGTTACGGATGAGTCAACATTTTTTTTTTAAAGTACAATTTTTAAATTTACCAACTTACCTCTTTCAACAATTCTTCGTAAAATAGCCAATATTTTACTCATAAAGATTTAGAGAAATTTAATTTCAATATCTATATACTTTTGAATTTGGAATTAAATTGTATGAAGATAAACTATTGACATGTCACATTGTGTTAAAAAAAAAAAACATTTCATTTAAAAATAATTGAAAGACGTTTTTTTCTCACATACAACTTCAAGATGTATCTCTTGTTTTTTTTGAAAAAAAAAAAAAATATTTTTCTCATTCTTCATTTCAGTCTAAAGTGACTTAATAAGTTAACATAATATGAATGCTGAGAAAAGGGTTATAAATGTAAAGATGAAATCAATATAATCGCATGAAAAGAGATGTGAAACAAAAATCAAGTCTTATATATACTTAAACTCATCGACCCTTTTTTGTTGCGATGAGAGATAAGTGGAAAAGGGAAGTCTTATAATGGAGTTTTCACTGGTACAATATTTTTGTGACAAAAATCGACAATGCTTATGCGGAGCTTTGAAAACACGAGACAGAAAAGCCCCTTTTCGATGTTACTTACCCCCAGGAGACGATGTGAATGGTCGAACCCTTTTGATGATGCTATGGTTTAATATTCAGCCAAACCCTGTGCGCGGAACAAACCCTTCTGATTAATAGTTGGCGATGTGTGTGCATGCGGAGGAGAATCATGGTCCATTGCACATAACTTTGCTTTTTCTCAATCGAAATTATTTCACTCTATTTCGTTTTTAAAAAATTTCAATTTCTAAAAATGCTACTTTAAAAGTTGTTCTACAGGGGTGCATGAATTTCACATTCAAATAATTAGTTAAAATTTTCATTTTAAATAATTTTTTAAAATAATTTTATTTTTTTTTTTGACTTCATTTTTTGAATTATTTGAAAGAATTTTAATTTTACACATTTTTTGCGTATGGACTTTTTATTTAAAATGTTCTCATTTAACTGAATAGTATATTAATTTAGAAAAATTTTCATTCAACAGAATTTTAAGTGATTCGAATTTTTAAATGCCAGAATTTTCAATTCATCGAATCTTCATTTCTTCAAATTATTATTTGTTAGAATATTTAAAATGACAAATTACCATTTGTTCGAAATTGCAAATGACCGAATATATATAAAAAGATTTCGGCGCGAATTTTAAAATTAACCAATCAAAAATTATCAAGAAAATTGTGATTGGTTAATTTTAAAATTGGCGCCAAATTCTTTCTGTCTTTGAATTTTTCACTCCAAACTATCATAAACATAACCTATAATTTTTTGCTCCATAGATCGTCTTCCTCAGAGCATTTTTATTTGAATGTAATTGAACCAATAATTTTTGTATTTCATATCATTTAATTGACTCAATAATTATTTGATAAAAATAAATATTTATTTGATAATAGTCAAGTAATTGATTATTTGAATCAAATAAATTTTTTTTTCAGTATATATATATATATTGCTAATAAAACTTAAGAAGGAGTGAATAAAGTTTAAATTAACGAGTGTACAATAATCATAAACGACATGAGAGTGAGATTAATTTAAATGTCTAATCTCATTGGAAATTAGAGTATATAATTGGCATCTATTGCCTTCGGATTTAACCGATATTAAACGCGCTTTAATAACGGCGTGTTATTGATCGGTCTAAACCTCGTTCAAATTCCGACGCGACACCCTCCCACTCGTACATGTACAGACACCAAGTTTAAACAGCATCCCTTTGCTTTCCTTAACAGTTTCATCATACATATATGCAACCATAATTGTTGAGGATTATATATATATGCTAATTGAAATATTTCTCTCAAATTTACAACTCAATTTACAACTCTTTTATTTTACAATATATATAAATCATTTTTTTTTCTCTTCTTTTTATCAAAAGAAACATTAATTTCAATTTTTTGAATTAATCTCTCTAAATCTCAATTAGTGAAAAATTAGCTACTAATTTAAATTAGTAAAAATGTCCACTAATTTTTAGTAACTTTTTACTAAAACCTTAGTAAACAAAATTTTAAACTATACTAAATAGTAATATTTTACTAAAAATTAGTAAAAAATTTTACTAATGTGAATTAGTAGCTCACTTTTCACTAATTTAAATTTAGAGAGATCAATGAGTAAAAATGGTTTTGTTAAAAATTTTTTATTTTTCTTTTTTAAATGTTCGTTGTATTTGTTACATATATATTTATTATTATTATTTAACATAGAAATTACCACTTTACTTTATTTTGAAAAAATTAATGACATCGAAAATATAAGTTTACGGAGGTCAATGAACTTTAAAGGTCTTGTAATAACAGAAGCAAAATAACAATATAGGAAAGGCTATCGATAGATATATTTTAAGAGGATTATCTCTGGAAGTAAATAATTTACAAAGAATTAAAGAAAAATATTTTGTTGGACTTTTATTTTCTTCTCATATTTTTTCTATTATAAATAATGATATGTTATTTATAATTGATATGTAAAAATGTCTAGCAGAAAATTTGTGATACACAATCTTGTTAATTAAAGAAAAAAAAATTTTTATGACTATATAATTATAAAAAATAGTCTTTAAAATAACCGCGGTATTTATATTTCCCCTTTTTCTTTGTTTATTTAATTTTCTCGCAAATTGTCTATAATTGTTTAACATTTTTTTCCTTTTGTATTTGTAGTTAAATCACTATTATATATATATATATATATATATATATATATATATATATATATATATTAGTAAATATAAAATATGTCAGTTTAATAGAAAAGTTGTAATAATTAATTAATAATTAAATTCAAAGTCGACAAAATTAAAAGTTATATAATTATTTTATTGATAAATAAATAAATAGTTAATAAATAATTTCTTTGCTTTGCTTGTATATTGTGATGATTTTTAAAGTCGTCTTTTTGTTCTTTATATCATAAAACTTTGTCAAATAAACTTAGGAATGAAATTGTTTCATCTGAAATTTTTGCAATGTAAACTTAATGTGTTTTATCATATAAAAAAAAGACAATGTCTCTCAGCCAAAGAGATAAGACACGTGTGTTTAATCAATGTCGGCCATCTCTAGTGCAGTTCTCCAACGTTGCAGCCTCTCAGCTTTGCGTTATGGCCCTTAAGTAAATCTAAGTGTCTTTGTTCCAGGGCACGTCTTAGTCGGACATTGTGACATATTTTTTATACAATATTTTATATACATGGTTTACTATATAAAATTTATTTAATTAATATACTTATCTTTGCAATAATATTTCTACAATTGGTTATAATTGTGAATTTATTTCAAAAAATATATTTAAAGTTGTTTCAGACTGAAATTATTTGAAATGGAATAGAATTATATTTTACGATGCTTTCTTTATTAACGATTTACTTGGAGCGTGATATTTTGCTGATCCCTCTCATCCCCTAAAGTAGCACTATTACATTTTTTATGGACGACCCAATACTCTAAATCTGAAACAGTGAAAATTTCACTGACTTCAAATCAGTGGCTCAGTTTTCTTTAAATCCACTGTTGACTTAAAGAAAAACTGAGCCACTGATTTGAAGTCAGTGAAATTTTCACTGATTCAGATTTAATAACAGTTATACAATATTTATTGTTACTGTAATATTACGTGATACTTGGGTAGGTTTGCAAAGCAATGCGTTCATCGAAAAAATTACATTGATTTCTTAAGTAATAAACCCCTCGAAAACTTATTTAATTTTTGATTGGAATTAGCGAAACAATTTTCAAAATTGGACCTTGAGGTTTGATTTGTAGAAGCACTCTGATCCTGTAACACTCCTTTTTTAGAGTTTCCTCTAATTCTTTTGTCAGAAATCGCAGCATGTGGAGGATATAGATATTTTTTTTTTTAAACCTTTTCAAAGTAAAATCAGATTCAAACGTTTTTTAACGTTTTAATTGCACAGAAATTCTATTATGTCTAATCACAATACGGGAACAAACCTCAGTTAGGCACACAAAATAAATCGTCGAGATAACACAGTAAAAACAAAGTCTTAAACCGTTTACACCTTAAATTAAGCCCATATATTTTGCATAAGTCTGTCCTTTTTTAATTGGTCTGACTCCGTTTACACCTTAAATTCAGCCTCAAAAATAGGCTGAAATCAAGATTTCTTTTTTAGTGTGAAGGTGCGAGGATTGAAATGGTAACAACGTCATAGTGACAGCTGTACTAACTGATAAGAGATCTGCTAAAACAGGTGGTGTATTAAAATCGAACAGAAATTCTAGACTGATAGAGACTTTATACAACAGGTTAACCGTAGAGTTTTGGAGGCACTAGAATTCATACTTGTTATATAATTACAAAAAACTCAAGAATTGAATGTAATAAGTAGAGGAAAATATTGTTTTCAAAGCCTGATCATTAATTTTATATATTTGAACTCTGATATTGTTCTAATAAAGCAGAATTGTTGAAAGATAAGACCATTTTGTGGATAATTTTGGAGAGATATATTTAAAAAATTCAACTTCTCTCAGTCAAGATTTTGCGATCGATTAGGTCTCAAAATCCCTAGAGAAGTTCAAATAATATTACATCGACCTGAAAACATCCTTGTAGAGGGGATTTACAATAAATTATTTAAAATAGGATACATTTTTTATGTTATATCGCTGACGTATGAATGCTGATGTTGGATTCAATAGAATTATTTAAACAAAAAGTAAAACTGGAAATTCAATAACTTTTACAAAGTTAATGTCGAGAAGTTTTATAATTTTCACAACTAGATTTTTCATCTGAAATACGAATAATTATAGTCAAATAAAAATTATAAATCACTTCCAATTTATTAATAAGGATCATGGTGTCATTTAAAACCTCAATGTAATCTAGTTATTAAAATAACTTACATCATCTTCAGGAAAGTTTCAACTAAATGAGAATTTTATACACCTCTAATAGTACCTGAATAGACGACGTCGTCCTAACCACCCATTATGGTGATCTATAAAGCTTTATGTATATACTTTAACTGACACTGCCAATCTAATCATTTTATTATGATGATCTAGGTGTTCAAATATAATCCCATCTGCAAGGAAGTTTTACTAAAATACTGTAATTTTTTATGCCTTTAATAGTGTATTATTTATCTTAATTTCTTTTACTCAAATAAGAATAATAACTTATTTAATATTTTTTGAATATTCTTCTCAAAAATAATAAAACATCTTCTTGTCTATAAATAGTAAATTCTTACTTTGGTATAATCTAGGTATTGGAAGAACGTCATCTTCGGAGAAATTTGAACAAAATAAAAATGTTTTATATTTTAACAAAATTTCTGTCTGCTTGTTAATTAATTAGTATTAAAATTTGCTTTCTTTTGTTGCAATGAGAAAAAAAAAATTGGTTAGAGATATTTTAGGTTAGTAAAATATACTGCTTTAATTTGTTATTTTAACTAAAGTTTTTAATTTGTTATTTTTAACTAAGTTTACCTTTAGTTAAAGGTATAGTTTTAGTTTTGATATTAGCTGCAAGTTTAACAGGTAATTACTTTAACAGGTAACTACTTTAACAGATAATTAAAGTTTAACTATCTAAATAATTAGATTAACTAATAACGAAATATTAACAGTAACGAATTAAATAGCAGCAGCTTATTCTGAAGAAAATTGTTTGTTAGGTTATTTTCTATTCACATCAGCATGTTAACACAGAAAAAACTTGGACTCATTTTTGTTGCAACTCATTTTCTTTTGGGTATCGAAATGAGTATGGGACAAACTTCATGTTATTCAAAATGATATTGGCTGGAATTTCAGATTTCTAAGTTGGCATCATAAGCAGAGTAATTTTGTATTTCAATTATTGTTTCTAATATTTCAACAACACCTGAAAGATTATTTTGACCAGTACGAATATTTAGAAGTTTTTAAATAAAAATTATTTATTATTATTTACGTAGATAATAATTAATTTCATAAGTTTTTAAATTTACCGCTATTATTTAAGTTGGCAGTACCGTTCCTGTTGTCAAAACACATGTTTTCATTTTTCTAACCTAAAAACATATTTCCTTTATTATTTTATTACGCGATTACAAGCAATTTTTAATCAAATATATTAGGTCTAGCGTGTTATTTACTTCTTTGTAATTATTATATTTCATGTTTTTGTGCAAAATTATTCGTTATTTCACAATATTTTTCCATTTTTCTTTTTCTCAAAATGAAACTTGCCTGTTTCATTTTGATACTTTTACCTTAGAACTCGAAATGAGACAACCAGTTTCATTTTTGTTGCGAATCAAATTGAGTATAGAATCTATACTCAATTTGAATTCAGGTTTTTTCTGTGAACTTAATCTAAAATTTTAATTGTAGAACTTTCTTTACTAATTGATATTCTATCAACAAACCAAATTTCTTTTAGTGTGTGAAACTAAAAATATATACAGGGTGAATTTTATGTTTCGTACCCTTAAAATTTTTTTTTAATCTCATTTTTATTCAAAACTTCTCCTAAGATGACGTTCTTCCAATACTTAGATTACCATAATAAGGTTTCATTATTTATAGACTGGAAGAGGTTTTATTATTCTTAAGAAGAATATTCGAAAAATATTAAATAAGTTATTTATTCTTATTTGAGTAACAGTTTCACGAAGATGACTTTCCCTGGCGAATCCGGAAAACTGTGTTTAATCTGAATGTGGTTCGAATTTGGTTAACTTTGATTAAAAGCAAAATTTTGCCCCTAATACATGAAAAAATGATTAAGAAAAATTGATACTGATAAATTATAATTAGTTTAGTTAAATTAAAATTTGAACCTTACGGAGATCGAACCTAATCGCATGACTAAATCTAACATCAAATCTAAAGAATTTTAACGACCGCGGCTATTAAACAACTTACTTCTGATCTTTTACTTAAACTTTTCATTATTTCTTAATATCAATGAATGTGTCACGTCACCGTAACTTTGCTAAACGCATAGTCTTAGCTGCATTTTTTTGTAACAGAGTCTTTTCTTGATTTTTTCCTGTATAAGATCAATACTACAGTCGCGACAGTAGTCTGACTTACTAATTTGTTCGGTATTATTAAAATATATTAAATGTACCGGAAGATCATTTACGATCTCATAAAATAATTTTTATCATTGTAATAAATAATATTCTGACACTGAACCTAAAATTGTATCGAAACTAAGTAAATGAAACCTTTTCTGTAATATGACATTATTATTCTATTTTTGTATTTTCTCCGAACTTAAAAAATTAAACATCGAAATATTGCCTGTTCATGCGTTGTTCTGTCGAGAGAATATGTTTATGATTTCCTTTATTACCATAATTTATTTGAAAGCAAAGGTTAACGAACCCGTAACATCAAGTTCAGATTTTGGTACCAGCACGCCTTTTCATATACGAAATCTTGTACAAGTACTGTTACTATGTGACTCAAGTTCAACTTAGAAGAATCTCTGTGTCTAGTGTTAAAAATTTCTACATCAAGAAAAGCTCATCCAAGTATTCGACTTCCCATAATATTTGGAAATCCCAGGTGGAAAAGTTCCCAGTAGTGGCTACTGGTAGTCACTACCGATAATTTTTCCGGGAATTACAGGTAGCGGTACCGGTGCGGTGGTCACTACCGGGAACTTTCACACCTGGGATCTTCTTTTCTTCCTTTTCTGGAAGAAATTTAATTATTTGGGTTTCATTACGGTCAACTGAACTCTGGACCTGTGGTCATCACTAAGGCCCGTCAACTTTCCTGTGAGCTCTTAAACTATATCTGGTACCAGACGTTCCTATCATAATTAGGACACAGCAGTGGTCCTTTTTCATACATCTTACATTTAAATTTTCAAAGGAAAGTCGTAATACTTTTTATCTAAATCCTTTCAAACGCCTTATAAAAATTTGTAGTAACCTTTACATTTCTTGTTGCAGTGGAATTCCCTTATTTCAAAAATGGTTGCTTCAGGATACTCTCTCTCAAATATCAATTTTTATAACTCTAAATGTTTGTCTAAATAAATTTGTAACTTTGTCATTAAAAATCACTATTTTCTTTCTTCCCTGTACCCTTAGCTCATGTCAGAGCCTTCTGCTCTGTAAATGAAACAGGAATTCACTGAATCACCGAGCGGCCATAAATAAAATAAAATATTATTTCGTTAGTTATTTCTCTATTTTGAGACGTAACAAATGACAGAAATGTTTGCTTGGGAATTGCTAAATATTGTATCGAGTAACTGTATCTGATTAAAATTTTAATCGTTGGGAAAATATTTAATAAATTTTAACAAAATTTTGATTAGTTTAAAAAAAAACTTTTTTTGTTAAGTAAGTATGTCATATTTTATATGACATTATATACATATGATTTAATGGAAATATATCATTCATTCTTATACCTTTTGTCCTTAGTATAAATGTGTGTATTATATTTTCAAAAGAATAAAAAGAACAAAGTGTGCGCCTTTGAAATTTTAAATATTGAGGTTATATTCGAGTTCTTTTGCGGCTATATTGTACAACACATGTGCTCATTGCTTTGACATATTCCGTGCGGTTAGGGGAGCGCCCTTTTTCTTATTACAAGATTTCTCGAGGGTGCGAAACTTCCTTAGCGACCTTCTGATAGAATTGTCCTCTATCATATGTATTTCCTACAAGAAAATATCATTAAATTTTTTTTTTATTAATAATTTAATATTACACATATAATATTTCATTATATGTAATAATAACGTTAAATATTAATAATAAATGGGCGTTTATTAGTAAATAATTAAATTGAAGAAAATATTACTTATTTTTAATTTAAAGCATATATATACATTTTTCGTAGGCCTGAATGAAAAACCAATAAATAAAAAACCAAGAAAAGATAAAAAAATTAATAAAAAAAAATATTTCTGTTTTAGCTGAGAGTAGATGGGAAGAATTACATCCGGGGGGTGAAAGACCGCCTGCACTTCAAGAACACAGTGCTGTTGCTTACAGAGATTGTCTTTATGTTTTTGGAGGAGAACTTGGATTTTCCGCTGGGACTGAAACTCCACTCTGGTGCTACACTGTTAAGGTAAATTATTTCTATTTCTTTTCATATACCGTGGATGTACCAGTTACTGTCCATGTCCCAGTTTCCGTCCATTTTACAAATATCTCGTATAGTAATTTAAATTATTTTTTAACAATAATTTATTCCTTTTGGCTCGCAATCGACTTATTAGTTTAAGTAAACAAATAAAAGAAAATAATTTTTTTATAAATGTTATTTTGAAAATTAAACTGGACGGAAACTAGGTCTTAGGTGGACAGTAACTGGGACATCCACGGTACTTTTTTCTCTTTATAATTAAAATTGGTTTTTGATAATTGAAATATGCAACAATGTCAACCATTTAAAATAGAATTAATGTAAGGATTAAAAATAGAAAAATTAAAATAAAACTGTATAAGTTTTATCAATAGAAACAGATTATCAAAAAATTGTTAAAATTTTTTTTGACGAAACCCAAAAAAAAGAGCGATGGGACTAAAAGAATAATATATATATATAAAAAATATTTTTTTATTAACATGGAATAAAAATAATGGTGCGAGAAGCTTTTTTAGAGCAGAAAAAAGAATATGCGCTTTAAAGGTACTAACTTTCTCCCTCGGGCTTTTGATATTTCTAAAGCTGTCTCTCAGCTTCATGCAACAAGGGAAAAAAAGTTGATGAAAAAATCAACAGAAAAGGTTGAAGCGGAGGTAAAAAGCGATTCATTAGGTGCTTGACCTAGATGGTTCGAGTGAATGATCACTGTCACTTTAAACCTATCCCCGCAGCATCAACTTGATGTTACATATAACAATAGCATTTTCTTTTTAAAAAAAATTCTTGATTTTACACAAAAAATTTTGTATTTAGATTTTAAAAAATAATAATTTATTTAAGAATTTAAAAAAAAAAATTATATTTTCTATGGATATTTATAAAAGAATTATTAAAATAAAATTTGGTTTTCTCTTAATTTCAATAAATAAATTTATTTATAAAAAATATAAATCAGAAAATATTAAATATTAATTAAAAAATATATATAAATTTTGTTTTAAGCTTAAAAAACCAGTAATCTAAAATAAAACTTTTCCCTCAGTGTTATATATATATATATATATGATAAATGATGTTTTTGAGAAAAAATTTGAATTTTTAGCATAAAGCATTTCTCAACAAAATGTAGAAATTATTATATAGATTGGAAATCGTTTTCCGGGGTGGATGCATTTATCATTTATCACAGCTATACTGACAAAGTATTGTCATGTTTTTTTTTCTTTTAAATCCGCTTATAACAGGAAGACTATGAGGTCAGCAAGTATATAATACAAACTTCCGTGTAGCAATATCGAGTAATCGATTACATTAGGCGATGTAAATGTTATATTTTACGGCACATTGGCCTGGATAAATGATGCAAAAAGTCATAAAATTCGAAAAATATATTTCAATTTATCTCAATTATTGCTTCTGTGGATTTTAAAAATCAATATATATATATATATATATATATATATATATAATATTAAAATAATTTGCCTACAATGATTTTATACTCATTTAATAATGAAAATTAATAATTTATATTTTCAATGATTTTACTTTATTTTTTCTTTAATTATTTAAATTATATTTTTCAAATTGAAAACTTTTTTATTTTAATATAAAACTAGCGATGTATTCCTCGCTCGCTCGGTTATAGTTGTACTTATTGTTGTTTACTTATTGTAGTTTATGTATATTATATATATAATTTATGTTTTAATATAATGTATTATTAATATTGTATTAAATTTATCTTAATTTTGATCAGTATCATTGAAGGATGAAATGACAATTGTTAAATATTAAATGTTTTAATTTATTATAATTATAACAACAATATTAATTATATTATATTATAATATATTATATTATATAATGATATATTTTTTTTATCTTATATTATATTATATTATATTATATTGCTGTAAATTGCCCCACAAACACATGGAGATTTTCCAAGGACAGTGTCGAGGTCACGGTGTCGGTGTCGCTTTTGGAAATTTGTTAACTTAATATAATAGAAAATGTTTCGTTTTAAAATAAGAAATGTTAAAATTATTAAGTTAAAAACAATTGATTTCAATGACACTTAAAATTAGGCACAATATTATAGGTTCCTAACTAAAAATTTAAAAAACAACTATAAATGATAAAAAAAGCCATAAAAAATTGGTAAAAAATTGTTTATAAGTAACTTTTTTAAAATAGTGTAATTTTAAAGGTATATATCCAAAAATTCGTAAAAAATTGCATAAAATTGCAAAATTTTTGTGATGAAAATGCAAAATAACCCTTTTTTGGGTTAAATAATTGAAAAAAATTATTTATAAGTAAATTTTTAAAAATAGAGTAATTTTAAAGGTATATATCCAAAAATTCGTTAAAAATTGCATATGGCAAAGTATTTTGATTTATTTGAAAATAAGTGAAAATAGATTTTCCAAAGACGGTGTCGAGGTCACGGTGTCAGTGTCGCTTTTGGAAAATTTGTAAACTTAATATAAAAGAAGATGTTTCGTTTTAAAATAAGAAATGTTAAAATTATTAAGTTAAAAACCATCGATTTCAATGACACTTAAAATTAGGCACAATATTATAAGTTTCTAACTAAAAATTTAAAAAACAACAATAAATAATAAAAAAAGCCATAAAAAATTGTTTATAAGTAACTTTTTTAAATTATAGTAATTTTAAAAGTATATATTCAAAAATTCGTAAAAAATTGCATAAAATTGCAAAATAACCCTTTTTTGGGATGAAAATGAAAAATAACCTTTTTTCGGGTTAAAATTGAAAAAAAAAGTATGTAAGATTTTGTAAAAGCATATGGCAAAGTATTTTGATTTATTTGAAAATAAGTGAAAATAGATTTTCCAAGGACGGTGTCGAGGTCACGGTGTCGGTGTCGCTTTTGGAAATTGTTAACTTAATATAATAGAAGATTACTATAATGTTCATAAATATATAATGTAAATGTAACAATCTAGAATATTAAAAAAAAAAAAAAGAAAATTGGAAGAACCCTTTTTTTATTGGATTTGTTGTCTGCTTAGAAGTTTAATAATATTATCCGGTGGACAGAACAGGTTCAATTTGTTCACTCGTCCGAACATAATTTCCTTGTTTCAGTCAGAAAACTAATCAGTTGAACAGAGAGCCAATTGCTTCTCTATAGTTGTCTGGTCGAAATTTTCTCCCCTACAGACACACAAAAGTTGATTAAGAACTCCACCAGCGGGTCATCACTGTGATTTATTCAATGTATTTTAAAAGAATTAAAAATTAATGAAAAACTTGTCATGAAAAAAAAATTATTTTTATTTTTTAAATATATTTTTTCTTCATTCAAAAAATTTAATTTTAAAATAAATATAAAAATATACCTACTAAAAAAATAAAACAAAAAAGTTGAATAATTTTATTAATTTTGTTTCGCGATTATTTTGTATAAATAGAGAAGAATGGGCTACAGAGTGGGCTGAAAAAATAATTTTAAAAAATTACCAAATTTTAAATATAAATAAGATTTTTGTATAAATCTTTATATTAAAAAAATTTAAGCCATGTTGATTTATTATTTTTAATGAAAAATAGATAGTGATTTTTATTTAGCTTTGAGAATTTTATTGAATTCATAAATTTTATTTTATTTTGTAGATAGTAGCATATCAGGAGTTGTTGCTACTTGCCATTTCTCTTTGGAATATTAATATTAAATGAAAATGTAACTGAAAAATTCACAACCATATTCCAAAATCCGTCAGAGGAAATATTGCACATATAAATTTTTAAAAGAATCTTGTATTTTACGTGAAATTTTGCACTCTTATTGTATATACTCTTTTTTTTATAACATTGTATTGTGCTGTTTAAGCATGCAATTATATTTCGTGTATACGATTAAGGGCACGTAATACTTACAGACGTCACATGATGAAGACATAAAAAATGCTCGCAACAGTCTAATTTTAAAACTAACAATGGTATTTATAAAACACAGGTTTACAAGGTTTTGGACCCGAGCAAATGTAAACCTGTTTCTAAATAGTAAATTTAAATGCTGAATTTGAATTAGCAGTCCGTTTTTTCACTACACGTCAGGTTATTGTGATAATTGCAATTTTTAATATTTTGCTACTTTTTAAACAATTGTTATTGAAAATCGACAAATATGACTTAGAAAAAAAAGTCGCAAATTATTTAAAGGTTTTTGGGGTTGCTGATTATGAATTTGAAGTCAGATTACAAAAAATCAAAATGGCGGATCCAATATGGCGGACGAAAAAATATTAAAAAACAATTTTATTTGCTTGAAACTTATTATTTCGAATTTGTAAAATCTGACTTTATATTCGTAATCACAGACTCCAAAAACCCCATAGTAACAAGTTCCAAGCTAATTAAATTGATTTTTTATTTTTTCGGCCACTATATTGGATCCGCCAGTTTGAATTTTTATAATCTGACCTTATATTCGTAATCAGCGACTCCAAAAATCCCCGAGTAAAATGTTTCGAGCGAATGCTATTGATTTTTATTTTTTTTCCGCCATATTGTATTCAACATTTTGATATTTGATGTGTTGAAGAAAATCTAATGATAGATTCGAATTCAGCATAAAAAATTACGTTAAAAAACGTTCTTACTTTTTTGGGTCTAAAAGTTGACCCGAATTTGTTTTTCTGTGTAATTAACACAATTATTACTAAAAAACTGAAAATTTAAAAAAAATGTATCATGTGTATAATAAAAATATAAAGCAAAATTATGTTCACTCGAATTAAAATTAGAGGCTATGCTATAATTTCAATTTATATTAATCGAGAAAATTAAGAATAAATCGTTTGTTGCTCATTTTCTATTATCATCATTATTATTAGTGTGTGTAAAAAATGCAACTATTTATTTATAAATGATAGAGAAAAAAAAAGATATCATTATAGAAAAAGAAAAATTACATTTGTCAGTTTTCGTAGAATTATTTCGTT